GAAAAATTCACGGGAAAGGGACCATCTTTCCAGTTGGTGAAAGACCTCAAGTATTGTATTCGAGCCGTGGAAGGAGGGCCTTCGTCCAGTCCCGCTCACGGAGCACACGAAGGGCTCAGCTTGGGGCACAGACTAAGCCAAGTGCCGCCTCTCCCAAATACCCGGGTTATCCCGGAAGCTCACGGAAACCCTCGCAGGGCTCTCATCCAAATACCAAACGAACACATCCTAAAGGTTCTGGGTAGCTCATTAATTCACGAAGGAGCCAGTAAGATGCTACGAATGTATCAAGAGGGAGTTCAAACGGCGCACCTGTGTCAACAATCAGCAATGCCGAAATGAATTCACAAACAGGTGCAAGCTCGGTGGGTCACTATCTCCAGGGCCACAACTAGTGACTCCAAGAACCGCTGATAACCAGACGCGATGTATTTGCATTTCTATGGACAAGGATGATTTGCATTACTTACGTTTTCTCCGCGGCCTAGGGAGCTGTAACACAGCTCGAAAGCAATGAAAGGTGCCGGCCTCTACGGAGTCAGAGAGCCCCGCAGCCTGCTGCAGGAGCCGCGTGGTAATCTGTGCTTGATCTGTCTCCGAGTCCACTTCAAAGCCTCGCGCAGTGCCTTCCGGCGCTGTCCCGCCTTATCGTCATAATCTCAAAGAAAGATTACTCTTGATCCAATTCAACGAGCACTGAAGAGACTGGGCCAAGCGCTCTCGCTGTTCCCCGCAATTCCCCACCAGTTTACGGGGTCCGTGCTATCAAGCCGCAAGAATCCCTATGCCCTCGTAACGCAGGCCCCCCAGGCTCCCTTGTCTCCCACTAGACCCCCGGGGGTGTCCGGGCGGGGGGCCCCCCCCCCCCCCCCGCCTCCACTAACCAGGCCAGTCTGGCCCCTGCAGGAGGCCGGGTTTCCGGGAGAACGGCATCCCAATCAGCCTGCCAGGGGAAGCTGGCTGCAGACGGTGTCCCAAGTAGCCGGATGGATGGACTGCTGGATGGAGTCATTTAGAATCGCCCACTTGCACAGCGTGGGGTGTAGGCCAAATATAATTTCCATTTTACCGTATTGCTGCTAAGCTGTTCTTTCTGACCATAATTAGCTAGCCTGTTCGGCTGTTTCTTTTTTTTTTTTTTTTTCAACGTTTATTTTTTTTTTTGACAGAGAGACAGAGCATGAACGGGGGAGGGGGGGGGGGGGGGGGGGGGGCGGAACCGGAAAGGGGCTCCGGGCTCTGAGCCATCAGCCCAGAGCCCGACGCGGGGCTCGAACTCACGGACCGCGAGATCGTGACCTGGCTGAAGCCGGACGCTTAACCGACTGCGCCACCCAGGCGCCCCAGTTCGGCTGTTTCTTAAGGACACCGCTTTCTAATAAAAATCCAAACCAGATCCTTGGCCCAGGGGACAGTGCTGGTCTTCCTACTGGCCGTGGCTGGAAGGCGGACAACAGGGTGGACAGCTTCCACATAGCCCGCACTCGTATCCCGTGCAGTAGAAATCAGGATCGGCCCAGAGACGACCACCTAATCCGCTCTAGATTTTTCGTGTAATGATAATAATGCTTGGGGCAAAAATAATAATAGTGTAGAATACTCTAGATTCTTCTATATCACATGCTCTGGAAGAAAACCAGATGGGAGTCTCAGCCAGCTCCAGAAAGGTCCAGGCAGGAGAGCCAGAGGCTAATGAGGGGCTAATGATGTTCTTAGGACCCTCTGCAGTGACGTGAAGGGACTGGACGCCCACAGAGTCATCCCATCTGAGCCAGGCTCTCTGTTGGCCATTACGGGTACAAGGAGTATTGGGCCCAGCCCTCCCTTAAGGGGTTCAGTCTTGGCAGAAGGCACATCTGCAGACCAGCAGCTATTACATGTGGGACTAAATAGTCAAGGGGAATACATGGAGTGGTGTGGGGACTTTCGGTCTGGGCACGATGGGGTCGTGGGTCAAGGAGAGGTTTAGAGGAAAGCCATATTTGAGCTGGGACATGAAGACCGAGGAAGAGTTCCCCCCCCCGCCCCCCCAGCAGATGCTCTCGCACGATCCGGCGACCTTCCAGCCCAACACCCCTGTCGTAGTCCCTGCGGAAGCTGGCTGCCTCTGAACGTGCCTTGAGCCTCACGCTTTGGGGCTGATGCTGCCCCTGTCCTCTGCCCGGCCCAAGGGTCGAGGCCTGTGCCCTTTGGAGGCTCTCTGATTGACCTCGCACTCCCCCAGCACCGGCGCGTACCTCGGTGGGAGCTCGTTATGGGGCAGGACGCGGTGACGAGCCTGGCCTTCCCCCTGCCGTTAACCAGCGGGGACTGGTCACCTCGGCTCCGCATCCCGGCCCGCGGCAGAGTGCTCCATGTGAAGCAGGTGCCCGACGAGGACCTCCTGTGGCATGAATGGACAGATGGGTGGAATGAATGACTGCGTGTGAAGCCCGTGACCGATTCGAGCAAGATGCCCGACTGGCAGAGCCGAGAGCTCCCACAGTTTGATGAGAAAACAGCTGGTGTGGGCATTTTGAGGCAGTGTCTTATTTTAGTAAATCGAGGATGGTCGAGCACCTGACTTTCAGGAGGGGGTCTAGGACTGTCACCTGAGTCCACCACAGGGGGCGCTACCGGAGAGACCCGAGTCAGTTCACCTGCTGAGTGCCTACCGAGTGTTAGGGACCTAGGACACAGACACGAAGGACGCCCGGGCCTGGTCTCTGCTCCTGTGTCACTCTCTCCACGCAGACCATCGTCCGGCCCCACGCTTCTCAGGTCGCCTGACCAGAACACCCTGAGGAAAACCTTACCTTCTCAGGTGTTTTTAATAAATACTGCCAATGACTCCCCTCTCTGAGCGGACAGCGGTGTATAGACAGGTCCCCATTCACACCCTGACCCCCGATGGGAAGGAAGAGACCGCATGGGCCATCAGAGAAGCCTCCGGCAAGGGAAGCAGGGCCTGGGCATCGGGCACCTCGTCCTCAGATGGTGCTCAAAATGGAGGCCGTGGTCGCCAAGGGTGTAAATTTAGAAACGCAGGAGTTGGGACTAAAATACCCCTTCTGGGACATCCCTCCATGGACTGGTTTGGGAGGTGCCCAACGCAAGTACGGGCAGGTTCACGGAGCGGCTCCCTGTAATCTCTACACAGACCAGAACCCAAGGCCACCAATGCCTTCACCTCTGTCATTCGCCACCGAGGTGCGAGAGAGAAGCGTCTGCCCGGTGAGACTTCTTTGTAAATGCCTGATACTCATTAAGAGCAGGGCCTCCGGAGGCAGACAGCCTGGGTGGAGTCCCGCCCTCAGGCACCGCTAGCTGTGTGACTTCCAGCCAGTGACTTACTCTGCACGTCGGGCCCCTGAGCTGTGAAATGAGCATCAACCAGTGCCTGCTGGGGCATGGCCACGTGATGATCTGAAGGAGGATACAGCATCAGGACGGAGGGGAAGTACGACAGATAATTAGCAGAAGCTCGGTGAGTTAAGTCAGCAATTACAGAAGAGCATGCGAGCTGGCGAGCGCCTAGGAAAAGCGGTCACCAAGACCGTAGGACGTCTCTGCCTGCAGAACTGAGCGGGCCAGCGAGCCATGTGGACTTTGGCCAGGCTGACTCAGGTTTCAGCAGAGGGCACCTTGAGAGAGAACCATTCCCAGCTGTCCTGGAACAGGGACCCAATTACAATGACAATGTCGCGATGAGACAAGCCAGGGGCCCCATGATGTTGACTGTCACAGGAGTCCAGCTCCTTGTGGTCTGGCTAGCTCCTCGCTGGGGGAGGCCCAGGAGGAGTTTGGAATAACGGCTGAGGGAGGACGCTAGCTTGGATGGTGAAAGCTTACACTGAGCCAGTGTTCTGGAAAGCGTCTTCAAGGAGGTGACAGTGAAGGGTGACGGTCCAGCCCCGTGAGCATTCCAGACGAGGGAAACGGGGCCATGCGGGCAGCCCATGAAACCAGCGTGCCTGGCACATGCTGGGCACAGAGCAGAGTGGGAAGGGGGAGGTAGGTGACAGTGCTCAGGCTCTGAGGAAGGTTTCCTTCTAAGCCCTGTGGGGGCGGGGGGAGATGTTAAGATCAGTGTCCCTGCCTGGGTAAGAATGCTTTGGAAGAGAAGAAGAGTAGAGGCAGGGGCACCAGTTGGAGGCTGTCCTGGTGACAGAGACCGGGCCCTGCAGAGCTGTGTCCGAGAACGCAGAGCGCGGATGCGGGCGTGGGGTCGGGTGAGGAGAAAGGGGCCCAGGGCCATTCGTGGCATTCGTCACCAAGGAGGCCTCGGGGCTGGAACGGAGATTAGAAAGGCTGCACCAAGGCACTGAGGATGGTCAGGGTTCAAAGGAGTTGAATTCACTCTGGAGGTGTGGGAGACCACTGGACAGAGACATGGAGGAACGGGGCCCCGAGCGTGACTCTGGAGGATTAGGATGCTGGAGAGCCCAGATGTCAAGGAAAAGACGCCCCTTGGAATCACAGGGATGCCCTGACTTCCCGAGAAGAGAGCGGAGGGGGCAGGAGAGGAGCCGCTGGCCCACGGAGAGGAGGGGAGAACGGTGGCAGGGCGGGGAGCAAAGCCAGCTCCTGCTGGCGGAGGCCAAGGCGTGGGGGAAGGGAGAAGGGGAAGGCCCAGAGAATACTCAGCCCGCGTCCGAGCCAGAGGAGACAGGCAGAAACGCTAACTAGTGCTGTTGCTGGCTCCCAAGCAGCCCCAGGGGGCGGCCCTCTTCCCCGCGTCCAAGTTCACCCTTGGGACGGTCCCGACGGGTGTGCGCACAGCTTCCCTGTGGGGCTCAGGCCCAGACGGGAAGCTCCCTGTGCTTCCTTCTCGTCCCTCCCAGCCTCCCACGGCACCCTGTATCTTTCCCAAAATCCAGAGTGGGGTTCTTCATTTGGAACTCCGTAAAGCATCATCACATCTTTCCACTGGTTTGGGGTCTGTGTCAGAAGTACAGGTCAAGGACACCGAGTGCGCGAGAGAAATCCGTCCACGGCAACAACTCTGCTTCAGCACTTACTGTTTTCAGACAGCTCCACGATGTAATAGAGGACTGGGCTGTTTCCGTCAAAGGGTCGAACCCACGAGAGCGTCACGGCGTGGCTGTGGGAAGAGTTCAGGCTGGCCAGGAGGTTCTGAGGTGAATGAGGCAGTTCACTTGGGCGCAAAGGAACAGGAAGAAAAAAAGGGTGCACGTCAGAATCGACGGTTAGCCCGGTTCTCACATCGCACAGTCCCGGTGGGGAATATTTTGAAAACGGAAACATAAACTATGCCCCAGACACAGATTCTGAGCACCTCTCCGCCCGAAAACCTTCTCCATTAACAATGTGGTTGTTTCGCCAAAGATATTTGATTCAATCCTTCTGGTAGAGATTAAAGGGATGATTGATGGCTTTGGGATTAGATGGGGAGGGAGTGCCAAGTTTTACACAGTATAGTATTTAATTGAGAAAACTCAGTCAGCGATTTGTTCTTACAACCCGAAGCTGTTAATGGGAAGGCGGAGAGCCACAGAAACAGGAAAGGGCCTAGGAAAGAAGATTTTTAACTTTGGAAATTTTGGAACCTAGTCACTTGGGCTCGTTCGCCAAAATGCCCACAGGTATCCCCAGAGAGTGGCTGCCTCTTCTTTGACCACATGACGTTGTGGCGTCATTGTGTCTTCTGCGAGATAACGGGGTTCGGGGGAAGAACTCAGGGGAATGTGGCGAAAATTCGAAAACCCCATGGAAATAGTAAACAGAACATCAGCAGGGCTGTAGAATGGAAACACAGTTGAAGCAAATAAACACAGAAAGGGGTTTACTAATAGAAAAGGTCTTTACTGGGATTTACTGGTGACAAAGCTGCAAAGTCCAGTTGTATGGTTTCTCCTCAGTCTGCAACCATACAATCCCTTTCTTTCTCTTCCTTCCTTCCTTCTTCCCTCCCTCCCTCCCTCCCTCCCTTCCTTCCTTCCTTCCTTCCAGAGAGTAAGTGCAGGAGGGGCAGAGAGAGACTGGGAGAGAGAATCCCAAGCAGGCTCCATGCCGGCAGCACAGAGCCCAAGGTGGGGATCGAGACCCTGACCATGAGACCATGACCTGAGCCAAAATTGAGAGCCGGATGCTTAACTGACTGAGCCGCCCAGGCGCCCCTGCAATCACACCATCCTAAGTAGCCCTAGTCTGGTGCTTAACCTTCGTGTCTCACAAATCTGGGAGCAGCACCCTGTTTCGTGGCCGTCGGGAACAGCTTTCTCTATAAACGTCCTCAGGTGGGACCTGGGAGAGGGGTGCCATGTGGACCCGTTTCACCCACTTAGCTAGTCTGTGGTCTCTCTGAGACATCAATTACTGCTGACCCACATAGGTCAGCACAAAGAGCCATAATTATACTTGATATTTTTAATTTAAAAAGCATACTCATTACACTTTGAAATTTATTAAGCTGTTATGTGTGTGCAGCTACCTAAGAAACACAGCTCTCTCTAACCCAGGCACACGGTTAATAAACAAACTAGTATTTCCAGTGTAGACGGAGACTTTAAATTAGTACAATAAAGAATCAACTTGAGCCTGAAATGTTGGCTTGTTTTCTCTTTAGTTGTGAATTAGGTTTTAAATCAGAAAGGGAGCTTTTATTTCTGTGGAGCTCTCCAGTAACTGATTCTTCCTTAAATTCCCAGTGAAGACGCCTATGAAGGACATGCCAGGAAAAAATATCTCTTCTCCTTTCCCTGTGCCCCATTTTCCTACTGGAATTGGGTTGTTTTCAAACTAAACCACAGTTGTTGAAATTGTCCCAACCTGAAAACAAACTGAGATCAACTTGGGTAAGTATTCCAAATAAGACTGTGGTATCATAAAGAATTGGTCTGGTCTTTGCCCCAGCTCCCTGGGGTGGAACTTCTAAGCCCTTGGAATTTCCTGAGGGGCTGTCTTAGCTGTTCATGGTGGGCCCGTCAGGCCACACCTGTGTTTTGCCAACAGCGTCACTCGTGGGGGGGGGGGGGCCGGCAGAGTTCCAGGAGGGGGCTCGCCTGCTGGAGAGACCAGCCGTGTGGTTAGAGGGCTGGGGCGTCGAGCCAGTGAGATCAGCCAGACCTTCTGATCTCCTGGAAATGGAGGGGCGGGAGCAGGGGCCCGAGCCAGTGATAATGACGCCCCAGCCAAACCATGGACACCAAGCTCAGCTGAGCTTCCTGGTCGGGAACCGGACACGTGTGGAAGCTTTGTGTTTGGGACCCTCCCAGACCTTGCCGTTGCCTCTCTTTGTACGTCTGGTCCGGATTTTATCCTCTATAGTAAGACCGAAATCAGGCACTTAACCGAGTTCTGTGGGTTGTTCTAGGGAATCACCCATCCTGCTGGGGTGGCGGGAAGCTTCAAATGCTAGGGGGTCGGTCAGAACCACAGGTGGCCCGGGGGCCGCGGAGCTGCGGCTGGTGTCTGCGGTGGGGCACGGTGCCCTTCACCTCCGGGGAGTCGGTGTCAGGACCGCACTGCAAAGACTTGCCCAAGCCGGGGGGCTGGCTGACGTGACCAGCACTAACTCAGAGGACTGACAGGGCGGGTTGGTGCCCGGGACCGTCGTTCATGTGCGGACACTGCCCCACACGGGCCCGAGGCCCCCCACCACTGACTCACCGCCAAGTCGGGAGACGTGCGGGTGCCCTGAGGCCCCGGAGGCAGACGCAGCCCCCGCGAGAGCCTGAAGGGCCGGGGGGACGGAGAAGAGGTCCCGGGAGACCCTGGGCGGCATCTGACAGTGGGCAGGAGGCACTTCCAGTGACACGCTGCGGGGGGATTCTCTCTGGGGGTTGACAGGCACGGATCATTGTCCTCACTGAAACTGGGGTGTGGGGCCCTTCTTTGGGTCGGTGGTTACACTGCAGAATCTCCACTCCCACCACCGTCCCCCCTTCACACACACGCGCCTCTAAGCAGTCACCACGTCCTACCTACCCTCCTTAGAAACGCCCTTAACGCCAACCCGTCTGCTTCGTCGCCACTGACCAGCTTCAGCCCACCCGACACACGCTGTCCCAAGGGCCACGCCACACGGTCCTCCCGCCCGTCCTGCCTGCTGCCGCTGTACGGGGTCCTGCCATGTGCTCCCCCCTGCGCCCGCGACGACTCCCTGCTACACAGCTCAACCTCTAGCCCACACTGGCTGCTCTCCTGAGCGTCACGCTTCCAGCCACAGTGAAGGCCTTGTGGCTCCCCGAGTCCAGCCACCCCGTGACCTGTGTGCACTCACACGGGACGTCCCGTCGATGGGAGAGTCGTGCCAATCAGAAAATCCATCTCAGCCTCCGAGGCTCGGCTTCCCTCTCACCCACGAGTAACTCTTGAGCAGAACCAACCACTTCTATCTCACTGCAATCTACAGATTTTTCAGTTCAGGAAACATCTTGAAGCCCTACGGGAGCAGGAACCCTAGTGCATCCTGCTTGATTATGGATCTGCCTCCCTTCTCCAGGGAAGGAACATTTCTCTTCTCCCTTCTCTGCCTTTTTTCCTTGATCTTGGCATCGCCAACGCTGGCATAGAGTGGGCACGCAGTAAAATGTGGGGCGGACGGATGGACCAACCGATACGGGAGTGGATGGGTTAACAAACGAACACTCCCCAAGCCGGGGGCCATATGTGGAGTGTAGGGACACGGAGGGAGAGGCTGTCAAAGTCCTGCTCTCGAGAGCTGAAACGCTGAGGGGGAGCACGAGGCCCGTATACAGGCTGAGACGAGGCAAGGCATCGCAGGTCAGGAGCCGTGGGATGGTTCTGGAAATAACAGTGGGCGGACTGCAGGGTGGAGCTGCAGGAAGGGCCATCTGTGGAAGAGGTGGGGGTCGCATGGCTGGGAAGGGTGTGGGTGAGCGGAGGAGGAGGGAAGGCTCCCTTGGGCACGGAGGACAGGAAGGAGAAGGGGCTGCTGAAGGTGTGGGTAAGACTAGGGGGAGGTTTGGAGCAGCAGCGGGAACACAGGGTTTGCACTGAGTCATGGAAGAAGGCAAGTAAGAGACACCTGTATTCAAAATTTCTGGGCTATCTGTGTGACGTTGACTCTCCAGGGCTACAACTGGGACCCCAAGGGCGACTCACTGGAAAGTGTCTGAGAGACACAGGAGGCAGTCAGGAGAGGGGACAGACCGGGAGACAAAAGCTGGGCTAGAGGTTAAGGAGCCAGCATCCACGGCCGACTTATACATCCGGACTCCAAGAGGAGATCTGGGGAGTGAGAGGTGGGGGCACACGGCAGGCTGGGGACAAGACTGGCCATTGTGGACCCGAGGCTGTGAAGAGACAGTCTGCTCTCGTTCAGCCTGTGGCCCCTGAGAAACTCCTGTGTCCCCACACACCTCGTCTAGGGGCCTAAAGTGGCTGTGCAAGATCGAATCCTAAATTCTGAAAGTACAGCTTTCCCACAGCTGGGAAAATATGGGGCTTCTCGCACTCGATGTCAGATCATGCTTCCCTTAGCCTAAAAGGAGGGCCAAGAGAGGACCGATCTGACCGGTGACCAGATAGCTTCTGTTCTGGGGGGTGGAGGCTTGACTACTATTCACAGCCACTTCCTGTGCGAGGGGACACTACTTGAGAACTTCTCTGTGGAGGGTTCTCACCACAGTCCCTCTGTCTGCCCCTCAGAGCTTGCTGATTCTCACTCGGCATGTGATTCTCCTAAGAGGGGTTTGTGATTTCCCTCCTCCCAGCTGACCAAAAGCCACCTACAAGAAGGCCCTAAGGTCTGCTAGAAGTAGGCACCCTGAACAGCAAAATGGCAGCCAGGTGCCTGAGACGGAGGCGACATTGAGAAGACCTTGGAAATGTAAAGGCAATGTAGCTTTGGGACATTTAGTGTAGGAACAGGGACCTAAAGCCCAGCGGTGCCCAAAGACATGATGTGACTCATCATCAAGAAATAATGAGCCCTCGTCCACCGCTGCCCCACAGTCCTCTCCATGGGCTCATGGTCACATCCAAGATGGTGGCCCAATGCTCAATGTGATGTTTTACACACTGCAGAGCTCAGAGTCAGAAGGAAATTTAGACCTTTCCTAGTTCCAGCCTCTGTCCTATAGGAAAATCCCCTCTGTGATACCTCTTGTGTTCAATGTTACCTGTTTCCCAATGCAAAGAACTTTATAATATACATTGAAGACGGAAACTGTTTCTTTAAATGGTGAGTTTTGGTTATCGGGAAAATTAAGCTTTGCGCAATACTTGCCTGACCATCAATAACCGATAAATGAGGCTTTAATATATTCTGAGTCCATTTCAGAGAATCTGATCTAATAGAAATAGACTATGTCTTGGCGTTTCTCTGCCAACTTTGAAAGGAGATAAATGATCAGCAGAGCAACTCACAGACAGGGATCTGCAGACAGGGTGACAAATGAAAGAAATCTGCGAACAATAGAAGTGAGGCCGGTGCCGAGTCACTTTGTGATTTAAAGAGAACTTGGGGGTGGGGGGGAACCCCTGTCAAGCCAATTATACCACAAGACTACCAGACACTAACAACGAGACACGGGGACCATAGGGAAAGGGGATTAAGCCAGGTGTGTTTGGGGAAAACAGCTTTGAAAACGACCGAAAGCAATTGGCAAAATTGTGGCTGTAGCCGGCCTGCTGTGCAACAGAGGCTCAGGTAAGTATTTTCCTATATGGAAGCACGGCCCCTTTAACGCACAAATGATGACCTGGTCAAACCCAGCTTCTCCGACTTCACTCTGAGGGTGAAGATGACGGGGGGGGGGGGGGGGGGGCCTGGCAATTCTCGAGAAATGGCGTTAAATTGTTCACTCCTTATGATGGGTTTGTGAGGGTTGGCTTTACTGAGAGAAATCTCTTCCCTGCCTCAGGGTCCAAGTCTTGCAGTCGGCTCCATAAATTAAGTTTTCTCTGTACTCCAGACTCCTAAGAATTAGTCTCTGATCTCAGAAGGAAAGATGCAAAGCTAATTGGGTCTTTAAATGATTAATAATCACTCAATCCCTAAAGCCCTAGGAGCCTAGTTCCCCTGGTGTGTTCAATGCAGCAAGGTGCTCTGGGATGTGGGGCGTCCCAAACCAGCTCCTTCCTGAGAGGAACTAGCTAACTAGCAGGAGAGGCACGCCCAACCGACCAGTCGGGGACTGGCCGTTTCGTGATGCCCTGTGGACGGTTAATTCATAGGGTACAACCCGGGACCACATGGATTTGTGGGAGCCTCTCCTCTCGGGGAGGCGATGAAGGCAGACCCCTCAGAAATTACTCCTCCTCTGTGATCCCCATTACGCAAGCCCAGTTCAGCCTCGTGGGGGGGGTGGGGGGGGTGAAGCTCACTCTGACATTTACTGGACATTTATGTACCGGGCACCATTCCAGGCATCGAGAGCTCAACAGCAAATAGACATACCTAGTGTGTCCGAGGGTCACGGAACATGGTCAAAAATAAAGCAGGATAGAAGAGAAGCTTCCTGAGCCCGGGTGTGGGAGCATGCTTTGGTGAAGGAGCGATGGTGCTTCTCGTGGGACAGTGAGCAAGGAACAGGAGCCATGACTGGGTGAGCTGGGTTCCAGGCCAGGGTGGTATAAACATTGGTTCGTTCAAACCTCACAGTGGCCTTCTAAGGTAATGGTAACGTGCGCATCTTGCAGTTGAGAAAACCAAGGCTGAGAAGTGGGCTAAGCTGCCCCAAGTCAGGAAGAGCTGGAGAAGGGGGTGCAGTCCGGCCTGGCTGGTGGAGGGCACCTCAAAACGTACCTGTAGCCCTGCCAGGACCGCGACTTCTCTGGCACCGTCCTGGGCGTGACGGGCCAGGAGTCCAACCAGGCTGCCACAGAGGATGGAGCTAGAACACGCAACACACACACACTGAGAGCAAACCGACGGATGGTCTGCTTCTGAAAAGCCCACTTCTGATGCTGCTAATTTCTATATTTAACTAAGTAGCTTTTAACTCAAGTGGGGAGGCAGGGGAAGCAGGCTTTCAGCCTCTTTTGAAGGACACTATTTAGCTGTAAGTACCTCTCAGTCACTTCTGCAGTATGAGGTTTTTTTTTTCTTTCCTCTTCTTTTTTTTTTTTTTGTCATCAGAGTAAATCACAAAAATGTTACCGAGCTTGATTTGAAAGTTCTCCGAGAAGCACAAAATGCCCCTCGATCATGAGTTACGACTATTATCATTACTATTGTCATTACTGATGTCGTACAGTTAAGACCTATCTGGATCTAAAGACAGACCAGGCTATAACCTACAACTTCCTCAATTCATTCAGATTTGCAAGAGTGGAGTGTTTATTACACTCACAATTCATAAGGAACCGCTGTCTTCCAAATCAGTTCTGTAACCTGCTGTACCTCAATTGGTTTGAATCACAAATCTGCAAATATTTCTATATTTAGAGATGAGGTGTCTTACCATTACAGAAAGCCTATTATTTTATAGATATGGCAACATTTGCTGAAAAATGTATTTTACTCAGAGGAAATCAAATAAGCAAATAGAAGGGAAGATATGTAAATCAGTAGACCATAGAGGTAGTGCAGAATAAAAAGCATGCCCTGCATTGGAAGCATGCAATTTTGGCTTCTGCTGACAGAGTCCTTATGAAATGCTAACACTCATTTATTTGTTACCAATGACAGATGATCTAAGAGTTCTCATAGGTAGCTTTAAAAATATGAATAGCACAGTGGGTCGTGTGAATGTGCTGGATGTGTACTCCCAATATTGTCAAAATTAAAAAAAAAAAACAAACAATTCCCAACATGATGGAAGGAGGAAGGACACAGGCCCAGATCCGACAGGGGGTTGGGGCGCTGGGCTGGCTCCCCGCAGTGGAACATGAGCCTGTGTGCTCGGAGGGAGAAGCCCCGGGCATGTGAGCATCGGAGGGAGGGCCCAATCGGGAGGAGCCCCGCCGGTGGCTGGTAACCTACACACATTTATTCGTTCATGCATGTGTGAACCACCCGACACGGATGTCGGAGCCCCTGTCGTGTCCCAAAGCATCGTGAGCCACTCAAAATGCAAGGCCTGCCATCCGGGTATTTTTGCTTCAGCAGTGAAAGCATCGTGAAAACAGACTCTTCCGGTGCACAGGCCCAGTGAACACGGGCACTTGCAGCCCATGCGATCAGTGCTATGACAGAAAGTCCAAGCAAATGCTGGGAAGCCGTGAGGCACCCTGGGGTCCCCACGCAAGGGTGACCCTGTGGCTGAGCCCTAAAAGAGGCAGGGGCCCTTCAGACGGCGATGGCAGAAAACACGGCCGCAGCAGCCCGAGGCCCTGGGCGGAGGACCAGGTGAGCCCAGGAGGGCAGAAAGGGCCCAGGGCTGGCAGGTCCAGCGGCTAAGGGTGGGGCGGGGACACCTGGCACTTCACGCACACTCACAAAGCTGCAGGGCCACAGCACCTGACCCCCGCAGACATCCCGCCCACCTGGGGGCTGGGGGCACCTGTTGCCTGGTGACTAACCGGGATGACCTTCACTCCCAGCAGGTGACCGACTGTACGAACGAGAACAAGGAGTCGCCCTGCAGATGCCAACTAGGCAGGAGAACAGGCCTTTCCGGGTACTGGAGGCACAATTCAAGGCTCTTCTGGACCAGCTGCTAAACACCATTAACCCGTGGAATCCCAGAAATAGAGCTAGGCCAGGCTACCATCTGTTCATGTGTTCACACGTGTGCGCAACACACCCAGGAGCCCATGTGCTGAGCCCTTAGCAAGTATCCTTCTCCCGTGAACCCCCTCGGCTGGAGGCTTGGCTCTGTATGCAGACTGTTCACGTTGTACGTTCAGGGAGTGGCTTCTGTCTATAGACTCCTTCCTGGACTGAGGTGGGCAGACACCAGTAAGAAAAACCTCTGAAACGGCCTTTTCTAATGGCCTCGCACGGCCCACGTTAGCCAGGGCTGCTGGCTTGCGCCCCTGGAGCCCCTGCCCTGCTGCTTTGTTTGCAGATCTTCCTTTGGTATGGTTGTGCTCAGGGACTGTCTGGGAGGCACCATTCTTAAAGAACAAATAACTACATATTAGAAAAAGGAAATTTGTCAGCAGGCTCTTTAGCCCCTGCTGGGGAACAGAGAGGAGCTGCATAAAGAGGTCCAGAGATGGAGGAAGGCAGTGGTTTCCCTCCTGGGCCCTCGGGACCCCCAGGAGGTCTCGATCAGCTGCTTGCCATTTCCAGGATTTCCAAAGACTTCACGGAAAGCAGCTGTTTACCCACAGAGAGGCAGGTGGTGCTGACCTCAGTGCGCCACGTACCTGGCTGTCACCGAACAGTCTGGCCTCGGTGGGCTGGCCTGACATTCCTCACCGAGTTCTGTGGGCATCACGTGGCAAAGTGGGCTGTTGCTTACGGGCGCTGAGGTAAATGGGTGACATGGTGCCAAAGGGGGAGATAAGGTAATAATAGGAGGGTGAAAACCAAGTAGCAAACCATCTGAACCAAGAGTGGAATGTTTTCATTTCCAGGTTCCAACAAAACCCGTAAGTAAGACTGTATGCCTGTGAGGCATGAGGCCATGGCCTCTGACGGCTGGCTTGGGGACCCAAGTGGCATCACACGCGCTAAAAATAGCCACTTGGACTCGGGATGGCTGACCATAGCGCTGCAAGCAATCAGGAGGTGGTTAACGCTCCACGGCGGCAACACTCACATCACCTCCAGCCGGGCCGTCCTGGAGTCATTCCCCCCTTCCGAGAGGATTTCACAGGTGTAGTCTCCGATGTCACCCGACCACGTCTGGCTAATGACAAGGGACCCGTCCTTCTCCACCACGATCCTGGAACTGCCAGATGGGGTGATGACTGCATTGTCCTTCTTCCACACGTAGCTGTGGGCCAAGCAGGGAGTCGTGAGTTAGGAAAGCTCTCCAGTTAGGATCAAGCCAGAGGGTTAGGATCTGGGCCGTGAGCGACCGACGGCCTTGTGAATGAACCAGAAGCCACTGAACTGTGTGCTCTTTAGATGGGTGAATTTCATGACATGTGAATATATCTAAAAGAAAGAATAAAGAAAAGCAACCAAATATCTTGGCCACAAGACAAAAACAGATGCTGAAGTTAAAAATGGGTCTGTGAAGATCACTGAGAAGACCGAACTGGCCTTTGGGTTTCGAGACGGGAAGTCTGTACAGTGTCATGATCACACATGTCACTTACTAACACTGTACCTCGCACTTTGCCCAGGAATGTTCCTGGAGGACAGGGGTGCTGCCTGGATAGGGGGCAATGACCGTCCCAGAACTCCTCAGAGTGGAATTACCCAACTTCTGGAAAAAGATCATACCCCATAAACTTGTTTTCTTAAAACTGCACCTCTTTCTCATTTAATTCTTTAGTTATGACAATTTTAGCACATTTTTCTTTTCAAATGTAGAATCAATTAAAAGCCTGGCCGGCCTTTGGTGTCAGTGGTCAGGGGTCACCACTTACTGCTGGACAGCGGGACATAACTGGCTTTCCTTTCCAAAATAATGTGCTCGGGTTTGCAAAATGTACCCAGCTCTTTAAAGGTTTAATACGCACAGAGCATAGACATTAATAAACTGCTTATCTGAAGTTACCCTGAGACAGAACAGACGTAGTCCCCCAAGAAGGAAATGAATAAATCGTTCGCTCTGGGGTATGACGTTCAGCTGAGATCATCCCTTAGGGGCGGTGCTCTCAGGGCAGAGGAACCCTGGGACGAGCAGTGCCCCCAGAGTGAGCCATCTAAAACCCCTCCGGAAGGAGGCTCCAGTTCTGTTTACTCACACATAGAAAGCTACAAGAAAAACGCAAAGGTCCAGAGGGATTCCGGGTGAGCTCTTGCAGAAAACCAGCTTGTCCTTGTCCCTCTGGAATCCTACTCCCAAACCATTTAGAAATGAATGTGCTCTTTTCCAGGCAACATCTTTAAGACGGCCTCCATGGACTCTCTCGGTAATCTTTGGCCTGTTAGTTTTTGTTGGTGGGTTTTCCTTTTGACATTCTTGCAACTAAACCAAACTTGGTTTTTGAGCTCTCGGGAACTCGAGAGAGCCAGGTGAGAGCACAGAAACTCACGATCTGCCAAACGTCTGCTCAAGAAGAGTAAGCAAACAGCTCAGTCTCTGAATCCAGTTAATAATGTACGCGGCAGGGGCGCCTGGGTGGCTCAGTCCATTAAGCGTCTGACTTTGGCTCAGGTTATGATCTCACAGTTGGTGGGTTCGAGCCCCGCATCAAGCTCTGTGCTGATGGCTCAGAGCCTAGAGCCTACTTGCCATTCTCTGTCTCCCTCTCTCTCTGCCCCTTCCCTGCTCATGCTCTGTCTCTCTCAAAAATAAACATTAAAAAAAAAAATGTATGTGGCAGCAGGCCCCTCCCTCTGCTCACAGTGAGGTGTTCAAGAAGGAAGGAAGGCATCTTGAGTCTATCCATTTGGCTAAATGTGTGCCTTCTGGCTGGGCTAAGGCCAGACTGAAAATTCTAGGATGACCATATCATTCTCTCTAGATTTATTTTCAGGGCTGGTTCTGAAAATTAAAAACTATTCTGAAGGTGGCAGCTCTTTGGGAAGAAGCTCACCACCCAGTCACCTGTGTCTGCTGCCCTGCATTTCCCCAGAGGGGCACAGTTTTCATCAGTACCCTCCTGCCTGAACTCGGACAAAGACGGGATATTACAATCCCTTCAGTGAGGCTTCAAGGCATCTAGTTCCCGTGTTTACGTGCATTTTCCTCTACATGCACGAGGTGACCGTGGCCGCCTTTCCTCTGGGTACAGGTCTGCCTTACTCTCCATCTCACCATGAAACCACCCTAGAGCAGAGGGAACCCCTCTCAAGTCTTACACAGCCCAGCATAAACGCTGCTGAAATCCTATTCGATCTGTCCGGATTTTTCTCTCATTAAGTATCAGCCCCTGACAAGTACGTTTTACAGATAGTGTATTAACCTTGGCAGAAAAATCATGAAAAGCTGTACTGAAGCCATGGAGTGGAACATAGCTCACTGTAAATAATACATAAGGCTGGAGTGGAAAATGGGATTTGTGTGATTAATGATGGAGCCCAAGACCGTGTGATGCCGTAATCAGGGATCTGCGGCTGAAATCAAAGTTGCCCAAATTCTCCCATCTCAACTTCATCTCCTAAGCTCCCAGAACATGAATGAGCCCCAAACGCTGTGACTGAACTGACCGGAGAGTGATCCGGGGGTCATGAGTGGCTCCGCAGTGCAGAGTGGCCGTGGTCCCCTTAATCACCACGCGGTCCTCGGGAGGGTTAACGATGGACGTACGATCTGGGAAAACACAAGTCACAACTCAGACAGAATTACATGCTTGAGACTTTCCTCCCTCAGGGGGGAATGAATTGGTCACCTAACATAAAAGCCTCCAAGTTTTCTCTGATCTTGGCAAAACGAACGTAAATGAAAGCACTCAGGGAATTGGAAGCAAGCTTTCCACGGCGCGGCCAGGGCAGTCAGGCCTCCCCTCCCCTCTGGGGCCGCTCCCCAGCCTCTCAACCCTCCTGAGGACAACGAGAACGCAGACCATATGCAAATATTCATTAGGTTCTGAGGTCTTAGGTTAAAACCGTGGTTCTTTGCCAAGACTATTAACATTCTGGTCATTTCTGCTGTCTGCACAGCACGTCATGACTTTGCAAAGTGCTTCCATTTGTATTGTTCTATTTAATGCTCACACAACCTCGTGGGGTCTGTGACAGCACCACTCCCAGCTTCCAGGACTAGAGAGTGGCGCTCAGAAGTGCAGTGGCTCGCCGAGAAAGGCCCGGCGACAGCCCTGTGGCCGGTGAACCCCCCCACCGTGCACCTGTGAGGTGGACCCTGCTCTGGCCCCAAGGAACAGAGCCCAGAACATGGGAGTCCTAAGACTAGGTCGGGGCCCAGCCTGACCGCCTTGAGCGCGGTGTCCTGGAAAAGACCTGAGCTTTAAACTGGGTGTCTGCGGAAGGGGGAGGGCGGAATCCCCCACAACGGCACACAATAGAGTAGGTAAAGGGTGGGATGTGCTCTGCAGGCCCCCCGAGAGCACACCCATCACTCTAGTGTTGCGAGGTTTTGAATCTTAGCAGATCTACAGAACTTTCTGGAGGGTGACCTACAGAGACACAGACACAGTTCTTCACAAGCTGTTAAATGTCAGGTTCACATGTTAGGGACACAAGACAAATCAGAAATGGTCAACGGAGTGGGCCACGAGATGGGACAAGACCCCTTTTTTGGTACCGGAGAATATTGGGGGAATTCGAATTTGTGCCTCTTTAGAAGTCCTGGTGTTGTTATAACACCTAAATAAATTAGAAGGGGTCATTTCTCAAAGTGGACACAAACTGTACCAGACAGAACCAAATGGACATGAAATAAAGCACAACAGTTCAGGTTCTCTTTAAGGACGGTGTTTGGACAAATGAGTCACTGATGCCAGTTAAATTTTTCTCTCTTCATAGAGATAAGCTTTACAAAGATCAGTGAGCACGATCTTTTGCTTTTTTGAACAACGATTTTTTTTTTTTTTTAGTCCTATAGATTATGGATGAAGCAGAGATGAAAAAGTACACCGGCAAGTGAAGTTAAAGGTGGGGCAGAGATACTTGGTAATGAATCCTTATGTCTGGAAAACAAATCATTCTCCAGTTCAGAAACCTGTGTTACAGATAAAGACAAAAAGCTGGAGAAATCAAAAATTTTCAATTCACTCCTAAGATATAAAAAACACTCACGTTTAATATACTAAGAGTGTTTTAGTTGGTTAAAATGATACTACAGAAAAAAACATACTTTCTATAAAATGTTATCTCTTGACTCTTAACTGTTAATTCTTACACAATGCTTATAAAATTAACCAACCTATCAGTTTTGTTGTTTGGGCTAGTTTGGGATAATATTTCCTACTCCATTGACTTTAAAAAGTCAATCTTTAATCTCTCCTGAAATGTCCCATTAAATCTTTGAATACATTTTCTAATTATTCTTTTAGAAACTGAAAAATTAATTACTCAACAGATTTCTATAAATTAGTTGTAAAAATAATCATTATCTTTTGATTAGAGAGTCCAAGGGCGTATTGACATCCCCTAAGCACAGCTGACATGATGATTAAGCCATGATGAACAGAAGGTTCCACGTGGCCTGTGGTCCTTACTCCACACAGTCAGTGCTGCAGACGCGCTCAGGGACCCCTCCGTGTTGGTGGCATAGCAGGTGTAGTTGCCAGCATCCTGGATGAAGACGGGGGTTATCTGCAGACCCCCGGATTCCAGAAGCATAAACCTAGGAATGCGCACAGAGCCACTGGCCAAAATATGTTTTCCTGAAGAAAAGTAGAGAAACAGGAATGTCAGCACCAAAACCAAGAAAATAACTTGAAATAATCATAATAAGGTGGAAACCGTATGTGCAAAAATAACCAAAGCAGTTTCCTTTCGCATTATTTAGGATGACGGAGACCAAGAAAATCTTAATTGTGCAATACTGAGAAAATGGGTTAAACCAGTTACGTCCATGTATGTATGCGACTGTTATCTTTGGTGACTGACTCTGACTTTTCTTGATACCTGTATACATCTGCAGATTTTCTATACAAAGCTATCATACATTCTAAATTGGGAGAAAAAATGTATACACAAAAGAGAAGAACCCCCTCTTGCTTACTGACCTGCATGTTTAACAGCTCTGGTCTGGGTGCAGGAGTCACATGCTGGGAGAGGTGAGAAGCCTCTACGTGGTTCACCCAGAGGTGGGCGCTCCGAGCGTGACCAGCTCATTTGTGTGAACCCGCACAGTTCAGCATATATTTGTTAAGAATGGATCGTGTGTGCTGTTCACTGAGGGACATGTGTGCCTTTGTGTGGAAGGGCCTGGGAACCACAGAGAAAGCCCATGACGTGATGCCCCTCCTCATGGGGATGGAAAACAGGTAGAATGGAGAGGGTTATGTGTCAGATGAGCCTGTGCTAGAACCATCTTTCCCCGTCTCCGCTTTTCTATTTTAGTAAAGCTCTCTGCCTTTGACGTCACTCTGCTAAGTTACACACAGGGAAGGGATCTTGGAAGGTCCTTCTGAGTCTTGTTGTCCATGAATGCTCCAGACTTTGAGCCTTGGCAGAATCCAGTCTTTGGTTTCTCTGCTTTTTTTTTTAATGTTTGTGTTTATTTTGAGAGAGAGAGAGAATGCACAGGGGAGGAGGAGAGAGAGAGAGAGGGAGAGAGAATCCCAAGCAGACTCCATGCTGTCAGCGCAGAGCCCAACATGGGGCTCGATCCCGCAAATGGTGAGATCATGACTTGAGCCGAAATCAAGAGTGAGATGCTTAAGTGACTGAACCACTGAGGCGTCCCTCTCTGCCTTTTGTAAAACCAGGCACAAATGACGTCCATATCCTGTTAGTTTCAGGTGTGCATCCTAGGCACCTTTCTTTCTTAAAGAAACAAGGGTATTATTCTTCATTTTGAATATTGCCTTCACTTCATAAATGGAGAAACTGAGTCCTGGAAGCACTTCTCCAGATCCAGCACCTATGTTTCAGGCAGCCCCTCACACGCCTAAGGTGGCCTATGAAGGGCTTAGGCAGAACACAGCGATATTCACACATTTTGAAGTCTGTTTGCTCTCGGAGACGTAAGCTCTGTGAAGCTTACAGGGCACTGTCCTTCTTACTCAGCCGGCACCCGCACCCAGCAGGCGCTCGACAGATGGCTACTCATCCTTACTGACTGAAGGCAGGCGGTGGGGGTAGGGGGCTGAGAACACGAGCCTTGGCCCAGGGGCTCCTTTCCCACGGTGGCCAGGCTGTGGGGGCCGCGCAGGCTACCCACCTCTCCTCCACGTGATGGCGGGCTTGGGCGCCCCGGACACCTCGCACCTCAGAGTGGCTGTCATCCCGTCGGTGACCGTGGTGTCCACTGGCAGCTGTGTGAACGCCGGGGCGACATCTAAGCGGGAGCGAACAGTGACATTCTCAGGGTGTGCCCCCCGCACGAGCCCAGACCCGCCTGCTGGGGGTGGCCCATATGGACTTTTATAGGACTAATCACACGGAACTGCAGCGACAAAAGATGAAAACCTTTCAGCAGTGACTATAACCTTCAGTTACTTGTCCCTCAGGAGCTGCCGATCTGTGTTTACAACCCAGAGAGAAACCCGGTCCGTGATGTAACGGACACGTGGTGGCAAAGTGCCGGGGCCCAGGAAGGGCTGTTTCAGAAGAACGGTAATGAGACGAAAGACATTTATTTAGATAAATCTAACAAGCTTGACTTCGTTACTCTTTAAAAAATAGAAAAAGCTAATTTTTGACTGTTAAATATTAACCACAAGATGACACTTTCACGAAATAATCAGATTTGAAGCCCTTCGGTAAAGGATTTCCAGGAAGTGTTGTGGGCCCAACTGCTGGGGGGCCTTCTTGTCCTGGGGGGTCGGCACGGGTCTCCAGCTCTCAGGAGCCCGGAATCGGACCGAGAGAGCCAGGGCGGCTCAGGCCGGCTTCAGCGAGGGCTAACCTGACTGTGTACCACTTGGAGAATGATTAAACTGGAAATCGCCGAAGAGCAGGGATCTGTGTGTCCCAAACCCTGGGAGGGCCCCACAGGAGCCTGGGCTGGGGTTCCCAGGAGAAGCGGATGCTGCTGCCGGCCCACCTTCCCCCAGGCGGGAGTCCCTACGAACCTCATAGGTGCCATGGGTGCCATCCCCAAAGCGTAGCCTAGAGCCCTCTGCTTCCTTGCACCTGTGGGGCCACCACCTGGACAGTGCAGCGGCCTCCTACCTGGGCCCAAGCCTTCCGCTCCTCCCTGTGCTGGCCGCTCTACACCCAGCCTTGGGTGCCCTTTGGGACCTATGAAGGATACCCCACCACTCCCTGCCGGAGGCCCTGGAAAGCCTCCCGCTGGGCCTTGGCCCTTGACCCCTCCAGCCTACCTCCTACCATGACCCCTGGCTCCTGTATCCCCAAGCTTGTTCCTCGAAGGCACTTGCAGCGTCCCCTCCCTCACCCCATGACGCGCACATCCCCCAAGATTTTGCACCTTTGGACCTCAGCTCCCGCACCGTCTCAGGGAATGATCCCTGGGCGCCCTCAGAGGCACCTCCCGGGTCACCATGGGCCTGGCCTGTTGTCTCCTCTCATGGCCCTCATCCCTGGCTAGACGAGCTCCTCCTCTCCTGCGTGTCTCCCCACTTCATGACCTCTGCCCTGGAAGGGTGAGAACCTCGCGTGTCTTCCTCAGAGCTCTATCCCCGAGCCTGACAGACCCAAGTGCCTGACAGAGATGCTAAATTAAATGTTTGTGAAATGAACGAATAAATATTGATTGCTTTACCTACTATATTTTCTTTTCACTAAAAGGGTTTTAATTTGGGAATAAAAGCCTATTTTGCAAAACCGTGTACTTACAAAACAGAGAATGTAGCAGTATCATTATCATGTATTTATTGTTCAATCTCCAGCTGCCATGGTAACCAGTTTGGTAGCACTTTTCATCTAAATTTCCCATCTGATCCTTGGAGGAACCTTGTGAACTGGGCTGAGATGGTTCAATTTTGGTGATAAAACTGAGGCTGAGAATTAAGGAATGTGTCCTAAGCCTCTCACTAGAGAAAGGTATAGGCAACGACAGCCTGTTGCCTGCTTCTATAAATAAACTTTTATTGAAACACAGCCAGGTCCATTTGCTCAGCACTGTCTGTGCCGCTCCCACGCCACTACAGCAGAAGCCAGTGGCTGTGACAGAGACCACGTCCCTCCGAGCTGAAAATACTATCTGGCTTTTTACAGATAAAGTTTGCTCCAATCAACAGAACCAAAAGACAACCTACTGGATGGGAGAAGATATTTGCAAATGACATAACTGATATTTTGGTTAGCATCCAAAATATATAACAAACTTCTACACCTCAACACCAAAAAACCAGATAATCCAATTAAATTAAATTAAACAAATAATCCAATTAAAAACACGGGCAGAAGACATGAACAGACATTTCTCCAAAGACATCCAGATGGCCAACAGACACATGAAAAGATGCTCAACGTCACCGATCATCGGGGAAATGCAAAACAAAACTACAACGAGGCATCACCTCCCACCTGTCACAACGGCTAAAATCAACAACACAAGAAACAAGTGCTGGCAAGGATGTGGAGAAAAAGGAACCTTCTCGCACTGCTGGTGGGAATGCAAATGGTGCAGCCACTGTGGGAAACAGTGTGGAGGTTCCTCAAAAAGTTAAAAAGAGAGCTACCCTATGATCCAGTCATTCTACTCCTGGGTATTTACCCCAAGAATACGAAAACACTGATTCAAAACAGACTCTTAAGGACAGAGAACAAACTGGTGGTTGCCGGAGGGGAGGGGGGCGGGGGATGGGGGAAACAGGTGACGGATGAAGAGCACACTCATCGTGATGAGCACAGAGGATGGAACAGAATCGTAGAGTCGATGTACCGTATACCCGAAAGTGACACCACTGTGTGTTTTCACTATAGTGAAATTAAAATGCAGGTTAAAAAAAAGAAAAAGAAAAGCCCCACAAGCTCCCGGCTGGCGCTTTTAAGATGTGCTTTATTTATTTATTTAAAAAAAAAATTTTTTTTTTTTAACGTTTATTTATTTTTGAGACAGAGAGAGACAGAGCATGAACGGGGGAGGGGCAGAGAGAGAGGGAGACACAGAATCGGAAACAGGCTCCAGGCTCTGAGCCGTCAGCCCAGAGCCCGACGCGGGGCTCGAACTCACGGACCGCGAGATCGTGACCTGGCTGAAGTCGGACGCCCAACCGACTGCGCCACCCAGGCGCCCCAAGATGTGCTTTAAATAATCCTAACTGATCAAAACTCAGCTTCTGGCTTAAGTACCCACTGTTATTTCCACTGTTACAGTCGTCCAAACCAGAGGATAAACTTGACCCCTGGGCAAGATTCAAGGAAGTGGTCCCTACCGTCCCAAAACAGACACACGATTCCTTAAATTCATTCGTTCTGGCAGACAGGAGCCATCTGCATACTGACACGATTTGCTTTCTCAAATGGCTCTCACACCTGAGAATATCAGCATTTTGCCTCCAAAAGGGCAAACATGAAAGGTATAATCCCATCATCACTAAATTCCACTTCATTTTAGAAGAACAATATTACAGCTGTGGAGATGAAAAAGAAAACCCACAGATACAGTGAAAGCCTTTACCTTTATTTTATTTTTCAAAGACAGAGTGCCAAAGTATTTCTGTTAATGGGATAATAAAAGAAACTTACAGAAGAACTATAATTGTTCAATAAAACTAAAATAGAAAATGGATATAAAAAATGGGAAAGCGATCAAAAGAAAAAGATTAGGAATGAGCTATTCACTGAATAGTTCTTCCAGTTCTGTCCAGAAAAATGCAGATTTTTCTTTTCTACTTCTCAGCGGAGAAGACGGCTTGAGCGCCGAAAAATCAAGGTTTGTGTAAGAGCAGGTTGGGCACCAGGACGTGGGGGCACGGTGTACCCGCTGGGGCTGCCGAGGGGCTTAGCACATGGGCTGCTCTCTGCCTGAGACGGGGCCCCTGCCGTGGCCACTGCGCCCTGCCCGCTGACCTGAGCAGATGCTACTCAGCCAAAAGTTGGGAAGCCCTGGCCCGAGGGCCCAGCCCGGATGGCCTGTCTTTCCCGACGGGCAGTACTCACTGGTGACGTCCAGGTACGTGTAGGTCTGGATCTCCCCTCCTTCGTTACTGGCAAAGCACTGGAAGATTCCGGAGTCCTCTGGACGCAGATGCTGGATGCGCAGGCCTCCGCTCGCAAGCATCTTGTATCGAGGATTGTGGAGCTTGCCGATGGAGACGGCATCCTTGTACCACTGGAGAGTGGGCAGAGGGACCCCTGTGTAGGAGTAGAAAGAAGTAGGCATTCGAAAAAATTAAATTCCAAGCACTATACACGGGGACTGAGGCAAAAATGTCTCAAAGGCTGCACGGCGATAGGCTGGTAGGCATTTTTTCATCTCTTAGCCCCTCCATCCAACTCGTATGTTGTTATTTTTCTCATCTCTGTGAAGACGCGGACACAGAGGGGCACCACAAGGAGTGGGAATGAACTCCTGATGCTGGGCTGCAGATGGTTCTGGACTCCCGGAGCCTGTGCAGGTTTGTGCTCTGGCCGGGAGGGAAAGGGATCCCAGCTGTGACCGCCCTCCGGACGGAAAGGGATGGGGGGAAAGGCCCCTGTCGCTCCGTAGGGCTGACGCTGCCCCTCGAGGCTGGGGGTAGGGTCACGGGGGCCAGAGACGCACTTGGGAAGGAGGCGGCCCTTGCAAACTCCGAATGTTGCTGCCAAGACGGATGGCGTCAGTACACACGCATCTCTTCGTGCCCGGCAGGTGGTGGGTGCACAGGGGCTAGAATGACTATTACTACAGCCAACAGCCACAAACGTGCCCCGTGTCTTCACCCCTCCCCTGCCTAGGGAGCTGGGCGTCACCCTGATGGAAGCCGAGGCCTGCCGTGGCGGAGGGGCGATGGCTGAGGTCAGTGCCCGGCGCCTCGGGTGCAACTGGTGTTCGACCGCGCACAGGGGAGAAGTCGCTTGGCCCCTGAGATGCATGTGAGTCCAGCAGGTGGCAAGAAGGGGCCGGGACGGCACCATCCTTGCCCCTGGGAGCTAATGGCAGCCTGGGCGGGGCCAACACTGACCGGGGGGGGATGGGAGGGTCAGTCTGAGGCTGAGCGTCCCTTCCTCACCCTGGTGATGTGACGGAGACAACCCAGGCCTCGGTCAGAGGGACCGGAGCTCCGCGCCATCTGGCCGGCCCGTCTGATGGAGGGTGCCGTTGGGTTTGGGAAGGGTCTACAAGGAGGACAAAGGACAAGCTCACAGGGGCAGAGCCCTTGTTGTACACGAAGGGACTGTCCTTGGCCGAGAGCATGAAGCCCCCTGCCGCTCACCCCCCCACGTGGCTCTGCTCAGCACACGGAGCCCAGGCGATGAGGGTGTGCACACTGCGCCCCGCCGGGTGCCCCCCCCCCCGCCTGGCGCCTCGCTGCACGGGACAAGCCGTGACTGGGCAGAGGCCACGTTCCTTCCCTGGGCAGCTGCCCTGGGAGGCTTGGGTGACTGACAGTGGTGGCCACCGCTCCCTGGCCCTCCCAACACGCCCAACACGGGTAAGCTGGGAAGACGCGACAGGCTGTGCACAGAAACTCCACCACGGCACCAGACCACGGCACCCAGAACCGTGGTGGGCACACGTATGCTTGCCGTGGGCCCGTGGGAAATGCGCAGAGATGTTCAGGCTGCTTCTGTACCTCAGTTTCTCTACGCGTGAAATTAATTTAAGTAAAGCATGTGTCGGCAGTGATTCATGGTGAAAGCACACCAAAATCACTTGATTTCAGATGCTATGTAGGTGTAAGATGTCTTCTTTAATAAATAAAGTTAACGTTGTGAAATATTTCAAGATAATGTATTTTCAGATTCTGTTCTTTGCCTTAATTATGTTTCCTGTCACTTTTCATTAAATCAGGAAATTAAAAAAAAATCCATTTCAAGGTAAAAGCATAACCAATTCATGTAAAATCTCATAATAGCAATTACACGATGTAGCTTTCATGAAGAATAACCACTTCGCATACTGCTATCGTTTCATTGTCAAAATTAAAAGAAAGCAGTAAATTATACGATGGCAGCGTTGAAAGGCCTGTTCGATACATATTTACAAGTCTGTATGGTAACAAGCAGTTCACCCTGTAGAAATCATGCAAAAAAAGCATTCTCTTGTCAAGGGAAGAGCTTAAGATTGTCATTTATCGAAAAATAATTGTTAGGATATGGGGAACTCAGTGCCTTTCTATTTTAGGGCAATTTAGTGGCATAAAAGGAAATCTTATCCCCTGCAGGATTGCAGACTCTGCCTTCTAAAATCCGAGCACCCTAAATACTGCATAGCTTCACTTTCAGACCATCGTGGACCTCAAAAACATAGGTTTATGCGAAAAAAGAGAACAGGGGCGCTCAGTCAGTTGAGCATCCGACTCTTGATTTTAGCTGAGGTCATGATCTCATGGTTCATGGGATGGAGCCCCACGTTGGGCTCTGTGATGGCAGCATGGAGCCTGCTTGGGATTCTCTCTCTCTCCCCCTCTCTCTCTGCCCCTCCCCTACTTGTGTGCATTCTCTCTCAAAATACATAAATAAAATGAAAAATAAAAATAAAAAAAGAGAGAACAATACAACCCGTAGCTAGGGAGAGCTTTCCATGTCGTTCACATCACTCTCCTCTGCCCCTCCCCAGGAGGCCTGAGCAGAGCCAGACCAGAGGAGGGCGCGAGCAGGACAGGTCAGCAGGGCTGCTGTGAGCTGACCAGGGGCTGAGAACCGAGCCCCTCAGCCAACGCCCTCTGGGCCGAAGCACGGTGGGTAGAGGTGCCCACGGCAGACACCGATCACTACAGGAACCATCAGGGCTGTTCACAGAACACCACTACTTTTCAGAAACGAAGAACGACATGCCCGGACCTGGGGACTGGTGCACATGTGCTCTGGGTCCCAGGACCTCAGCTCTTCGGGAGAAGCCAGGCGACCTGGCCAAAGCCCTTGCTTTGGTAGCTGATGGGTTTGGGTTTGGATCCTGCCTCCACTGCCACGTGACCGCCAGCAGGTGGTCCAGTATTTAATGAGATGCTCCTGCATGCGAGATGCTGGGCCATGATTTTATAAGTAGCTCATTTCATCCCCCTGGCTCTGTGCCTTGAGCACGTTACTGACCCTCGCTTTCTAAGGTCTTGTTTTCAAATGTGTACTCTGAGATAATAGTATCTCTTTTATGAAGCTGTTTTGAAGATTTACAAAATCGTGAGCAATCCTTACTCTCCGAGCTCTTAGAATAAAATACCCAGCCGTAAGATGGACAGGTTTAAACATTAAAAAAAACGTCCTTTTTCACTGACAGTTTCCAGAGCACTAGCATAGCTATTGTTAATGAAATTGCCTTTAAAAAGCTTGTCTCAGTTATGGGTTTTAGTGTAATTATTTGTGCTGCCTGACAGGCAACGGAGACTATGGACAGCTCATAATCAAGGCATGGGGACGAGGGGGGAAATTACTGGAATAACAAAGAAAAAGTCAACCCAAAACTGGAAAGGCAAAAAAAAAAAAAAAAAAAAAAAAAAAAAAAGGAAGAATTTCCTGTGCAAAGAATTTAAAACCATCTCTCTTACTAAGGAGAACACATAGGCGTGAGCCTCAATCACCCCAAGGACGAGAAAGAAGTTCTTGCCCCAAGTCTTGGGGGGCACACTGGTGGAATCCGAGCACTGGAAGACAAGACTGTCTGTCTCTGTCGGGACGGATGGGGTTAAGGCCTCCCTGTCACTCCTGTGGGTGACAGGTACTATCTCTGCTCTGCAGGGGAGGAAGCAAAGGCTCAGCAAGGCCAAAAACCTGCCTCAAGGTCACATGCCCCGTAACAGAGGTCCGCTATGTTCCAGAGGCCCTGTGATTGACGTCACTGTCAACGTGTGTCCCCATAACGATGAGGATCCCGCCCTGGAAAATGCCCCTCTGCGTCACGGCTGCGTGGGGAGCAGCCTCCCCACACTCACCCATTGCTCGACAGGCGATGTCCACGGTTTCTTCCACGTCCACTAAAATCCGACGCTCGGGCTCGGCGGTAAAATACGGTGGCTCTTTAAACAAGAAAAAAAAAAAATACCCCTAAGCAAAAGAGGTGTATTTCAGATGACCTATATAGCCTGAAAAAGCTTGGACTCCTTTTGAAAAGTACTTCCAAAAAGTTCATTAGTTACCATCGTGCACACAGACTCAGAATTCGGCGAGCACAGGCCAGAGGCAATTTATATTCTAAGGTTTGAGAAAGCAAATTACTACTCAGGGTGATGGCTACTTTTTCGTATATGGGCTTGAATCACGGAATATCTTAATTCACGTTTTAGAAGGACGATCCCAAGAGGTTCATAAAGGTTTATATTTACAGCACAGTATTTTATAGGCCAGTTTGCTTCAGTATCTAAACTAAGCACCAACGCATGAAGCATGTCAAATAAAGTGCCACAGCCAGGCATCCGGCCTGTGTCAGGGCCTCTGTCACCACAGCCTATTAACATATTTCTTTAAAGTCTTAGCAGTTCTCTTCTCCAAAATATAGATTTACTACTTCAATGGAAGGCTAAATAATAGGTAAGAGAGGAAAGAAAAGGGCCCCTCATCCATCTTTAGTTGCAGAGGAAAGTCCACTGCTTGTATATCTCTACATACTCCCCTCGCTTATTCAACAAAAAATAGTGGGTGTATTAAACAGTGAATCTCCTTGGAGAGTACACTGCAGTATTTTTCTCGGTTTATTCAGCGAAACTTCAACAGTGGCGTGGCCAGATTCATCCAGTATGAAGGCGGTAGTGATTTCATGATCATGATAACAAAAGGCTGTAGCATTCATTTGCTGCGTGATAATTAATTTCTGGGCATGGTCTTCCCAGAGTGGCTTATTTTCACTGTAACTGTGTTGAAGGTGGACAGTACAGCTTGGCATGCCTCCTATACCGTCGGGGGCTCTGAAACAGAGCGGAGCCTAAGGGAGGGAAAGGAGAAGTGGAAACACCCTTCCCGAGGAGTGAGCGAGGGGCAAAGACCGAAGGTCTCTCAATGAGGGTAAAGTGTGGCCCCAACTCTGTAATCACCGGGGCCACTCAGGCGGCCACCATCTGCCCACACACCCGCTCTGGCTGAGGCCAGGGCGGCACCCGCACTGGAGGACGCAGACCCCTCCACTGGGCTTTGGTCGTGTGTAGACCGGGCCTAAAGACACACCGCAGAGATTTACGGTCTCTTTTGAAGGTGGTCTTCACTGCATACACTCAAATGTTCACATTCAGCCGCATTTCCTCTATCAATAATCATGACAGCAGCAATATTTGTATTCTAACGATGCAGGAGCAGCGTCCCGTCAAGGCCCTTGTGTGTAGGTCATGCCCCATATTCATCAGTGAATGCTAAAGTCGATATCTACCTCCATGGTCCGATGGAAGGGACGTGAGGGAAAAGGAAAAAAAAAAAAAAAAGACCAAGTGAAGAAGTCAACATTCGCCTCTGGTTAATTACGGTTCTCCTTTTTTAAATTAAACATCGTATTTTGAGGTCATTGTAGAGTCCACACGATTGTGAGAAATAATAGAATAGAGACCCCAGGCACCCTCTACTTAGCTCGCCCCAACAGTGACCTCTTGCAAAAAACTACAGCCCAACATCACACCCAAGGTACTGACAGTGACACAGGTGACCTGGCCTCCTCCCACCCTCCCCCTCACCCCCAGTCTTGCTTGTACATGTATGCGGGAGCACGCACGCGCGGGTGAGGGTTTAGCCCTACACGATGTTACCAGGGTGCAGGCCTCTGTATCCGCAGTCAAGAGGCAGAATGGGTCCGTTACCCCAGGGTCCCACACACTGCCCTTTCACGATCATGGCCACCCAACGTCCCATCCCTCGTGTCCGGCAACCACTCCTCTGTTCTCCGTGTATAATTCTGTCATTTCAAGAATGTGACAGGAACAGAATCACACAGCATGTGACCTTTGGAGCTGGTTTTTTTTCACTTGGCCCAAGTCCCGTGAGATTCATCCAAGAGGAAGTGCACTTTGATGATAAAAACCCACACAAATGAATGGTCAACGTGTCCAGGGCCAGACAGCCTTCCCCAGGTACCGGGGAACTCACTCCACGGTGTGCCCTTCTAGTACCATCGTCCACACCTGGTGTCTCTCTTCATTGCAGTGGGAAGAATGGCCCCAAGGTGTCCACCCCCTAGTCACCAGGACCTGAGAACATGTCACGAGGGCTACATGGCAAGATGGCCTCAGCCGGTGTGATTAAGGCCGTCGACGTTAGAGCACAGAACTGGTCTTGGATTAGCCGGGTGAGCCCAGTCCCATCGCCGGGGCCCCTAAAAGCAGCGGCTTCCTTGCCGTTGGCAGAGGAGATGAACTGGCTTGTGCTGCTGGCTGTGGAGAAGAAGGTGGCCCAGGCCAGGGGGAGGGGCCCTGGAGCCTAACGGTGACCCCGAGCAACAGCCAGGAAGCATGCGGGGACTCCAGTCTCACAAGCCACGCGCAAGCCCACGCACAAGACTCTGCCCACCCCAAGGGAGCCTGGAGGTAGATCCTCTCCCAAAACACTCAGGAAAGAGCCCAGCCCACTCAAAGCCTTGACGCTGGCCTCCTGACACCAGCAGCAGAGAAACCGGCTGAGCCCGCCCGCGGGGACTAGGGGACCCGAGCAGCCCCTGGGCTCCAGCTCCTATGCAGGAGGCAGCTGTGGGCAAACGCCGTGTTGGTCGTGAGCTCAGCCCTAGCACCCTTCTTCTGCACAGTGCCCCCGACCTCCTCGGGCAGGGTCCCCCCTCCACACTGGAGCTTCCGTGGAGAAGGACGGTGTCCTCCTCATCGCTGTCTTGGTAGCGCCCCGCACGGTCTCAGAGGAGACGCAAAAACTGTCTGCTGGAGAGAGATACACTGGAGGTTACCAAAGACCTTAAATCCTTGAAGCCCTTCGGGGAGCAGGTGTGTCCTATTCATCTTGGCAAATCCTCCCTGTTCACGCTTGGCCCACGCCAGTGCTTCAGCCCAGGGGCTCGCACACGCTGTGCCCTCCACGAACGGCTGGCGTGTGGGCAGGAGGGCAGAGACGGCCTGGGAGCCCTGGGGGACAGACGGTCCCCAGAGGAACACCCTCCCTGCTCCCTCCTGGGGCATCACGGCCAGCCCGCCAATCCCGCACACAGGGCAAACGACCCAAACACCGCTGGTTGTTCGCCTTGTATGAATTTTCCTCGCTTTAGAAACAGCTCTGTAACAGCTCTGTTTTCTGAGCTTCATTCGGCCATGACCTGTGCTACAGAGAAGTTCTAGCTGTGACGGGGCACCAATGATTAACGTGGGTGCTTCTAACACAGGCCATCTGGAAAACCAGAAAGGAGACATCTTGAGTTTATCCTAAACCAACGTGAATGAGTTATAGGGCAGCGCGAGAGGGTTCGGCTCACTGTAGGATTCTGTTCTGGCCACATGCCAAGACAGCCTCTGCCCCCTGCACCTGCCGTGTGAGGGTCAGGGCGCCCCTCCCCACAGCCTCGCACTCACTGTGCTGAGTTGTGACAGCCTCGTGAAGGGGCTGCCTCCTGCACGAGAATCCCTGATGCCTGGGAGCATGGCTACCTCTCCACCCCTCTGCCCCCGGTGCTCCGTACGGTGTCAGAGATGGAGACTCGATACATGGAAGTGGAGGAAAGAAAGGCAGAGGAAGACGGGAGGAAGGGAGGAGCGGGGGAAGGGAAGATTTTATGTTGGGGTTCGGACATTTGAGAGGGGCTCGCTCTCAGTTCGGTACAGGTAGAACTTCGCGATTGTGGCACTGTTATCAGCCAAGAGACGTTACGTGTGATTTGTGATTCTGATGACAGTTATGGTATTGGAGTTCCTGGATGATCTGCGTGTGCAACACAGAGACCGCTCTCTACTGCACCCACCCTCCCCAACCCGTGTGTGAGCACAGCGGGAGCCGGCGTGCCAGGACGCCGGCGCTCACTGGAGCAGGGCAAGCATGTGAATGGTGGTGACAGGAGAAAGCGTCGGTCTGCCGGTCGGGACCGGAAGATGGGCGCAATATGTCTCACCACGTCTGAGACGTTGCAGTCGTGGGTAAGAGGCATCGCTGTCTTATTTACCACCAAGAGAGGAGAAAACGCTTCCGTGGACTGTGAGACACATCCTGCTTTCAGAGACACTACTTGTGGAAAACGTGCCATGTGACCAGCTGCTGGTAAACAACCAGCGTCCCCCGTGCTGTGACAGAGTTGCACCACCAACTAACAAAGCCACCGTTTTAGTGCTTCTGTGACCAGCGCTGCCTTTTACTGCTCACGGTAGGAAGCGGTACGATCTCCTACCTTGTCTACGTTTTACAGAAGCGGAAACTGAGACCAACAGAGGCAGGGGGCCTCGTTCGAGCCAGTGGGTGGTGCTGGGAGAGTGTGAGCCCAGGCCTGTCCCCACAGCCCGCCCTGTTACATGCAGTGCCCGGCTGACCCACCAGGATGCTGGCACGCACGCTCTGGAGCAGGTGGTGACCTCGGGGAGGGGTCTCGAAGGACACACAGACTCACCACCAGGTGAGGTGGGGCCTGGGGCGGAAAGGCATTCATCCCAAGCACAGGTAGGCACAGGTGCTCAAGAGTCTGTGGCTGCAGAGTGCTGGGTTGGCCTCCCAGAGACACAGACAGGGAGATGAGGTTCACGGCCACGGTTTACCTGGGAGGTGACAGAAACGCCTCCGGGAGAGGCAGGGCAGCTGAAATGAGCACGTGACCAAGTCGGCTCATCTACTGGGAAAAGCCAAGATGGAGCACGACCTCCAAATGATATCCCCATCACAACAGAGAGGGAGCTCCACTGTCTACCCAGCGGTCCGTCAGATCTGTGTTCCAACCTGCCACGTGGTGAGTGCCTGGGCTCCGTGTGGTACGTGCCTGGCCCTGTGCAGTGGGCGCCTGGACTCGGGGGCCAGGGAAGGCCACAGGAAGGAATGGCGGCACTGGCGGTCAAGGCAGGGAGGGCGAGGGGACATGCCGGCAGACGGAGGCGTCTGCCTCACCACATGGGGTGTGAGTGGCAGGGAGACGGGGGAGGCCATGGAGGAGGCTGTGGAAGGGAACATGGACCCAGGAGGCCGGCGTTCCTGGTCACGCGGAGTCACCAGGACCTCCGGCAGGTATGACACTGCCCGCAGCCAGACCCCCGCGATTCCCTTTAAACCTCAGAGATCGAGCGACACGCCAGAGAGGCTGACAGGTGGAGTAGAGGGCGGCCACTGGTCTGTCTTGTCTCGTCAGTGTGCGATCAAAGTGACCGAAAGCCAGTGCGCTCCCGCCTTCTTCTAGCTGCCTGTGCAGGGACACCTCCCTGCCTGGCCCCACGGGGCCTGGGGACCCTCCCTCCGTGATCTCCCAAGCCGCTCCGGATTGACAGAGGCACTCTTCAGGGCTTTTCCAGGGTGATTCAACCACAAAATCCTACCTGTCACAGCAAATTCTTATGAATAAAAGGGGATGTAAATCCACATTTACATTCGCAGACTGTATACCTTTAAAAGCCAGGACATGCAGAGAGACGGGAACTCTAGAGAATACAGAGCAATCTGCTTCGGGATTCAGCTGTAAATGCAAAACCAAAGTTCACATGATAGACTTGAATATTTTTAAAAGGAATTATGAGGAAAACAAACATTCTGGTTTCTAGGAAGATAAATTTCTTCTCCTGTTTAAATTACCTTAAAATGTTTTAACACAATCTAGGGCTGTCTCCTGGAGACTTCCCTGCCACAAATTTTAATTTTGGTTCGCTCTGTGCTGTCTGTGCTCATACAGCTACACACAGACCCTCGTGGGGAGTCCTCGCAGGGAAGGGGGCTGTGGGGTTTCTGCCTCGAAGGCACAGAGAGCGAGCCAGCCAGAGAGCCAGCACAGCCCCCAGCATGGAGTCGGCAGCGGTGTGGGTCTCCAGGCCTGCTTTCCCGATACTTTAAAAATCTCTGTGCTCCGCTCGGAGGGGCTGACAGGTTGGCGTGTATTTGACAGAGTCGTTCACGGGCCGTGGAGCCTTTTCACAATGGCTTAAAGGAACGTGATGCACTCTGGGCAAACGGCCTTTTCTGCAGGATTTCTCCGTACTCTGGCCAATGTCATATGAAAATAGGAGCTTTTATTTTTTCTTAATTTGTGAAGTGGTAAACGGCAAAATATGTCACGTGAGGAGCCACTACCCTGCCCGGGGCTCTCTGCGGATTTGACCCTTCTCGTTTCTGGCTCTCTTCCTCCCGAAGAGGAGAGAGGAGGTGGAGATCCCCCTTCCTGGGGTCGGCCTCCAGGGGACCTCTTACCTGTTGCGGCTACCACTCGGCTGCACAGGTCACGACGACAGTGACCGCAGCCACTAGGAAGACCAGAAAGTGTTACAGGAACTGAAGAACGTAAGAAATAAAGGACCTGCCTCACAATTCAGGGTCATCTTCTCGCAATCCGAAAATAAAGCGAGGCCTCCCTCTGCCACCACACCAGGCACGCCTCCCGGGCACCGATGCTCGCCAGCGTGCGCCGCGACTCCCGTGTGCCTCATTTTAACTTCTCGCTCTCCTCGGCTCAGGAATGACACTTGGCGCACGTTCTAGGGGGAGCGGCTCTGTTCCCACTTTTTAACCTCATGAAAGGTATTATCCAGAAGTTTCTTTTTCTGGGTCAAAAGATCTCTGAAAACTGATCATGAGAGCCCGGGGAGAGTAACAGAGGAGCTCAGTGGTGCAGGGGTCGGCCCAAGATCTACGCCACAAGGACCTCACCCCCCGTCCCCCATGCTTTATGATCGGAAGTATCCAGAGTACCACCTCTAGTAGGTACTCAGAATATCAGCGCTTTGGATTTAAGGGGTTTATGTTCTCAGAAAAGGAAGAGCGGGGTGACTTTGGAAGCTCATCTAACTGCGCCCTCATCTCCTGAGCGAGAAAGAAAGCCGGTGAAACGCGGGTGTCGCTGTGCCGTTTCCCAGGACGTGCCTGTGTGGGACCGCCACGTGAGGCTGCGGGTGATGCTAGGCGGCTGAGCATTACCTATGATAGAAAGAAAGGCTTTCGCCGTGGCTGGTTCGAAAGTGCTTCCCGTCAGTGTCGCCTCGCAGACGTACGCCCCGGTGTCCGCGGACGTCGGGTTGCTGATGGTGAGACGTCTCCCAAAGCCGTGGAGCCCACTGGTGACCCTCACCCCGTTTCTCTTCCAGTTCACGCTCAGCAACTCAACAGGCCTGGGAGAGCATTAGTGACGATAATTGTGAGTCACGCAGACGGCAATAACAATAATTTGAGGCATTCAGCACAAGCCTGACAAAGCTAATTCTACCAGGAACCATGGCGGGCTGAACAGTGGACATTTAAAAATCAATCCAGACACAACTGTGCTCCCTTGCGGCATGCGTCAACAATACACTGCGCTCAAGGGCTACTGAACAAGGAGAGCTAATTGGAGCAGCAATGGACCATAAGTGCTAACGACTCCATGTGCTCGGGAAAAGAATGTTTAAAATAAATACTACTAGGGGACACGGCTACACGGGAGTCATGATCACGGGAACTCGATTCTGGAGCCACCACGAGCCAGGCCGAGAGCACCTCGGACTGTGGAGGAGAGGAGGGATTAACTCTTTCCAGTGCCCCCGTGGGATTTCACTCCTGGCTCACCCTCGTCTGGAGTCTCTGAGGAGGAGGCCCTCCACAGTCCCCCACGGCTAAACTGAAAAGCGGTGCTTTCTGGCACGAACATCACCGTCAACGTAAGTACTGCGGCACCAGGCTGGGGAATTCGGCTCCCTGTCTTCCCGGCCCGCTGTGCTCATAGCCCCGCTGGACACACAAGGCCACCGTTGCTACAAGGGCAGAGCACACGTGTGGTGCGTCCTTCCACTCCAGATGAACCTCACGGCAGTTATACGGGCTCTGTAGGCCCAGGGGGCGACCGGCAGCATACCTGGCGTTGGCCACGCATTCCAAGGTGATCTCGCTGGACCCGGCCACCACACTTCTGTTGCCTGGGGGGATCACAATGACGGGAGCCACGGCTTCGGGGGCGCCAGCATCTCCTGTGGCAGAGAAAGCAGAAGACCATGGGACCCTCCGAAGTAGGGAGGACGTGGAGACCGGAACAGAACGAACAGGGGGTCTTGTCGAGCCACGGAGACGGGACGCCCGGGCGTCAGGACCCTACCCCAACCTCCCCCCGCCCTCCCCGTGAGAAGCCCTTGGGCGAGGACACTGTCACTGGCCTTCATCCGGCCGTGGGAGCCTGGTGTGGAACCCACGGCCAGTAAGGGTACGTTCTGGCAAGAAATCGAGGGAACCAGAGCGTCACAACGCCGCCTGGACGTCACGTGGCCAAGGACTGTGGAGTGAGGAACGTTTCCCGAACTGCTGGCTGACTTTGTTGTTTTATTGACTTAAGACTTTGCTTATTGAGTTACCTAGTCCCCCCGCTACTTTCAAATCTGCTCAGTTCCACAAATATTCCGCGTGTCGGGCACTCTGCTGGGCACGCGTGGTGCTCGAAAGCGGCCGGCTCTCGTACTTGGGCCCAAAGGGGACTCCCCGGAGCAAACACATTCAATCAACAAAGGGTTCTGTTCTGCCCGTGTACTTTCAATCCTTTTTCCTTCTCGGAGAAGTAAATATCCTGAATCCACCTCTGTTTTGCGAGTAACAAACTATAAATAATTTAGCTCCTACTTCTGGTGACAAGGGAGAAAAAAAACCAGCACTCGTTTTTGCCACTTTTCTCTAAAATCCACGTAGTATCGAAATCAAACTACCCACAGTACACTTTACTGCTGTTTATTTGGGTGAAATGATGACGGATCAAACATCTCTAGAACAGGAATTTCCATAAAGGGAGGAGACGGCAGAGACCGGAAATAAACATAAATATAAGTTCTGCGAATGTGAAATGTTTCATCTAGCGCTTGCCGCTGGAGGGCCCGGCGAGCGTGGGGGGCTCTGGCAGGGACCAGTCCTCGGCCGCCCGACCACAGCGGGCTGGCGCCACCGAGAGAACGGTAGGGAAACCGAGGACTGGCTTTGTATCACCACTAATTCTCCACAGCTCTGCGTCCTGGTTTCATTACTTAAGCGGTATGTGAGTTTTGAATGAAAGGTTCGTGTCAATTAAAAACAAAACTTGATGCAGGCAGGGCCAACGAATTAATTTTTTTTAACCGAACACCGATGACATTGATGGAGGCCGGCTTCCCAGTGTCCCGGGGCCTCCTGGAAGGCTGAAGTGGCCTTCTCCTTTCCCGGCCTCTTTGCCTCCCAAGTGAGCCCCGCAGGGCCTCTCTGACAGCCTCCTTCTGAGGCTCTCCGCTTCTAACTGCAGAGAGACCGTTGGGCTGGTTACCAGATTCCTGACGACACGCCGGAGTACAGACACTTTCGTGATGGGGCAAAGGACAGGAGCCGACTGCCAATCAGATTAACAACCTGCCTGTCATCTGTGAAAGTTGCTGATGAGGAGAAATGACCTGAGAAGCTAATATTTGCAAATAGTTATGTGAAGTGAGGAAGGGCAGCAGTGAATGCTGAAAGGTCACCGAGCAAGGTGCTAATTTGGCATTAATCACCGCTCCGCCGCGGCGGCAGAAGAGGAAACCCGTGCTCAGCACTTGTCACCGCCCGGGGAGGACGGGCCCCAGGCCGGGGGGCCTCGACTGCACGCTGACCCCGGGAGACCGTGCATGGGACAGAGAAGCACCGAGGCCGAGCTCACAGCTCCCCGGGGGCGCGTGGGACAGAGCAGTGCCACTCTGTCACGGGTCGCGGCCACACCGAAACATGGAGCAGCCCCTAAGTGTGCTTCAAGTGGGGCGGTGACCGTTTCCACAAAACCCCTTCGCGCACGCCGACGCACCTGTTTTGGGAGGCCCTCACCCTGCGGGGTTGGCGGCACAAGTCCAGTGACTGCTTGGATTGGATTCGGGGCACAGGACACTGGCTGAAGGAGTGGGTGTGAGAGCTGCAGACTGAAAAGCGGTCGTTCCTAAACGGAGCATCCGTGACACACGCACGGGGCCGCCGGCGAGGTGTCCTTGCCTCACGGGAACCACCACCAGCAAGATCACAGCACGGTCTTCTGGCTGTAACGCTATGCATTTGCTGTTGAAGCTGCCATGACCACTTTTCGGCAAAATTTTACTGGAGTGCCCAGAATCCAGATCTTGCAATAACAGCAGGGACGGTGCTCATGACAGAACACAATGCTAGAGCGCTCTCTTCTTTAAAAAAAAAAAGTCTTTAAATTTCAATCGAATCTGACTGGGCACGTGGATTAACAAGGCGCAGAAACGCCCCTGCCCCTGTGTGACCATCTGGTGTGGCAGGTTCGAACTGTCTGAAGACACCCTGAATCCCAGAGAGCAGAGGTCTCTCCCCTGAGCCATGTGTCCCATGTGTCCTCTGTGGAGGGGAACCTCACCCTGTGTTCATGTCTGTCCTGTTTGGCTGCTGAGAATTCTGCATACAGCAGCGGGGTACGAAGTAGATTGTTCCAGAGACAAACTGTTAACTCCTCCCTCTGTCTCCAGCTCCGTGTCACAATTAGCCCCTCCGTGGTCCAGCGCCAGGTGTCCCCAGGCTGACACCTCGTCCCCTGTGGCCACCGTCCTAACATCTGACAGCTGCTCTCGGGAGCTGGCTTTATCTCCCGCCTGCGAATCGTCCTGTCTCTTTTCTTCTGTCATTGCGCACCTCAGTCTCAGTCTTTTGCTGCTTTTTAGAAGGTTTTTGCCTCTTTTTTAAGTGACAGGAGTATTAGAGGTGCTTTATCTGCCATTTTTAGCCTGTCACGCAGACTTATCTGCCAATTTTTTCCCCACATTCAATTTTTAGAAAAAAGATGCAAAGAAGAATATCCAGCATTTTAAAAAGAAGAAAGCGACCTCTTTATTTCTGCTATTTTATAGTATCTGAGATATAAAAGCACCCGAAATCCCTAATGATTGGTTATTTTGTCATAAATATTCCACAATAATGAGTCAATGCTGCCTCCACTGGGAATATTACCCTCTCCTTCAACGCTCTACATGAACACGGGATTTTTAAATGCCATATGCTGACGTATTAAGAATTACTTCCGAGAAGAATGAAAACAAGGGAAGAGGGAAGGTAACCGTGCTTCCCCACGTTCCCGGGTAGCCACCGTCACATCACTAAATGACTTATAAACGTCTCCCCATTTGCTCTAACGACACCAGAAAATACCTACTACTGCCCCCCGTTTACAGACGAGGAAACTGAGGCACAAAGTCATAGGAGTTCAAATGGCAGAGGAAGGATTTAAATAAAGGAAAGGCTCCACCCCGAATCCATCATCTTCCTTTCACGTAACGCCGTTTACTCCTGATAAAAACTCTGGTTGTGCTAAGTTAACCAGAAATTAAATAACTAGAACACGCCTTCCCCCAAGCATTTCCTTAATGGAGACTTTACTGTGCTGTTTTCAACTGAACATCTCCCAGGCTGGTTTCAGGTGGTTGAGGTGAAGGTGTTGACTCAGAAGAGGCTTTCTGCAGAGGTCAGCACCGTGCAGCTCCAGAGGCAGCCGCTTTAGACGGAGGCCTCTTTGTGGTCACGGAATACAGCGCCTGAGCACCGAAACAGCACCTCATCCCAGCCCGTCTCCCCACGGAACCCCTGAGTCACTACAGAGCTGACTAGGGGAAATGGTCCAGGCTGCGTTTAATTAAAAAAGTGCATTTAGGGGCGCCTGGGTGGCTCAGTCGGTTAAGCTTCTGACTTCAGCTCAGGTCATGATCTCGTGGTTTGAGAGTTTGAGCCCCGCCTCGGGCTCTCTGCTGTCAGTGTGGAGGCCACTTCGTATCCTCTGTCCCCCTCTCTCTCTGCCCCTCCCCTGCTCTCTCTCTCTCACTCAGAATTAAATAAATAAACATTAAAAAAGCATCAAAAGTACACTTCAAGCACATCAAATGTCTCAAACAACAGGAAGGTTCACCTGAACTACTGACCCGTAGAAAGGCAGCGAATGAAGCGGGGTAAGGGACAAACACTCTGCTGTGCCACTTGAGGGGGGAGGGAAAGTCCCAGCAGAGAGACGCGGGGTTAGGGGACCCAGCAGCGGTGGTGGTGGGGCGCGGTGAGGAAAACTGGCCTACAGACACCTGGGTGCAGGGTGGTGCAGGCACCCACTGCCCCGGGAGGTGGTGGGGGTTGTTGGAGGAGCTACTGGGGGTGCAGGCTGGAGCCCCGAGGGCACGGGGAGACATGTGGGGTGAGGGGTCAGATCGGGGAGGCCGGTGGGCAATATTCTAAAGGAGGATGGGAACCTCTGCCCACTCCTCAAATAAAACTTAAACGACAACTACCACGGGATCTGGCAATCCCACTTCTGGGTATAGACCCAAAGGAAACGACAGTGCTATCTCAAAGAAGTGTCTGGGCCCCCACGCTCACAACAGCCAAGACACGGACACAAATTACGTGCCCATCTGTAGATAGATTAAGACACTGTGGTATATTTACGGAGTATAATTCAGCCATTAAAGAAAGAAGGAAATCCTGCCGTTTGCTACAACATAGATGAGCTTTGAGGGCATCGTGCCGAGGAGATAAGGCAGGCAGAGAAAGACAGTATTGTACGATCGCGCTTACACGTGGAATCTGCAAAAGTGGAGCTCCCAGCCACAGGACACATCGGTGGTTGCCAGAGGCAGGGGTGGGGGAAATGGGTAAAGGCGGTCGAAACCGACATATTTACCTATAAGAAAAACAGATCTCGGGATGTAATGTGAAAAACAGAGGTCTCTTGGTATTGCCAGACATCCGCCCTGCGGTAAAAGTGTCCCTAGCTGGGAGTCACTGGTTCTAGGCCACACTCCTAGTCACTGGTACGGGCGGAAAGAAAGAACAATCCTTCATAGTTTTTAAAAGAGACAGAAAAGCCACTACTGTTGTGCCGTGATGGCTGCACAGACTTCCCCTTACTGGGGTTGCCGTTTCTGCCCGGATGGTCTTCCCGGGGCCCAGCGCTGCAGCGTGCGGGCGAGTCCAGACGCCGCGTCCAGATGGCTGCCCGGGG